TAGGGCATTTCAAGAGAAATTGCCCTAAAGCAGCAACAACTAGCACACTGTAAGAGTCCTAGCTATAGGATAAGGCGAGGCAGCCGCTGATCCCACCGTTGCCACAGGTATATTCTTTCCTGACAGTGCTTATACTTGCAATCCTTTTTGGATGATATTGTTGAAAGAAAAATATGTTATCTATTCAATCAAACATCATCTTAACCTTAGTCCTCCAATTGTAACCAAAATGTCTACCGTCGAGACGTCTAACAACGAGAAAGAGGATGTTAGCCATAGATTCATAGGTTGTACCCTTACCTCGAACAATCATTCCTTTCCTATCGACCTAATGTCAGTTTCCATAGAGAGCTTTGATGTTATCATTGGCATTGATTGGTTTTGAGTTCCAATCATGTGGATATCCTTTATTACGAAAAAGCCATCCATCTCAACCTTCCCTCTGGTCAGACTCTCACGATCTAAGGCGATAAGTTTAGCTCAAATCTTCATATCATTTCCTGCATCAAAGCTCAAAAAGGCTTCCCCGAAAAGAGTGCTATGCATTCCTAGCCCATGTGATTCGCGAGAAAAAGGAAGTTAGAGACCTCGAGAACGTCCCCGAAGTCTGTGACTTTCCCGATGTATTTCCTGTATAGCTTCCGGGAATTCTTTCCGAACGTCAGGTTGAATTTTGCATCGACCTAATTCCTGGAACTACCCCAGTAGCCAAATCTCCGTATCGCTTAGCTCCAACAGAAATATAGGAGTTATCCAGCCAGTTGACCGTCAAAACCGATATCCTCTTTCCTCGAATAGATGACCTTTTCGATCCACTTCAGGGAACCAACCACTTCTCAAAGATAAACCTTAGGTCAAGATACCATCAACTACGAGTCCATGAGAGTGATGTTTCTTAGATAGTATGCAGGACACAATATGGTCACTATAAGTTCGTAGTGATGCCCATCGGTCATACCATTTTCCTTGGTCATGTAGTAGACAATGGAGACATCGGTCAAACCATTTTCCTTGGTCATGTAGTATTCGTATTTCTTTCCGAATCCATAAATTGTATCTAAAGTTTGAATTTCAGGATGAAATTCCCTCTATCGGGGGGATAATGTGACAACCCGAAGTTGTTCCATCGCCGTAACCCATTCCGCGTGTAAAACCCGTCTTTAGCAATTCGTTTCGATTTCGTTTTTAGGCTAAGTTATTTAAATTTATATGTTTATTATAATCTCATGAGTGTCCAAACTCCCTAGAAACTCATGTAAACGACCCAAATTATGAATTTGAATATTTTTAAAATTGATCCCGCCCGGTTACGACAACTTGATCGGGTGCGACCAAAAGCCACGTCTAACGTCGGTATCGGGTAGAATTCCATTGTGTCCCAAACCCGAACCATATATAAAGTTGATTAAGCCTCATTTGAATCCTTTTCACTCTCTCTCTAACCTTTCTCCTCAATCCAACTTCTTGATCCAAAATCACTCATTTCAAGCTTCAAATCACCAAGGTAACTATCCTAGCTCCTAGTATACCATCCTTAGCCTTCAATTTCATGTTCAAATCATGATTTAGGACCATAAACATGTGTTTACAGCCATGTAACACTCTTGGGACGTGAACACATATAAATGGGGTTTTTGAGCCTTAAAACCCTTCCAAACCACCATTGGAACTTAGATATGGCTTAAGGACTTATTGGATTGGACTTAGAACACCTTAAACTTAAATTTTGAGGAGTAAACAAGATTTTACTACCCAAGAACATGCTTGGGCCGTCAACTCCATATCATGGGGAGTAAACTCATTTTAAAGTGTTAAGATGCCACTTAAACACACCAATAGCCTTGGAATAAAGTCTAGAAGCAACCACAATCAAGTTAAGGACCTTAATCATGCTAAAACTACCCCCATAGGAGCTTACTACCGTAAACCACCCAAGAATGGGTTCTTAGGCCATAAACTCCTAAAACTCAGTCAAATGGTGCCTTAAACTCATTCTGTGGCTTGTAGAATTTTCTAGAAACACTTGTAATGACCAAGGACCACCAAAACATCAAAGGAAAGTGTGTGGGGCAGCTTATGGTGGTAAACTCTTAGTTTACTACTGTAAACTCCATTAAATGGTCCATATATTGGTTTAATCCATTCCTATTCCCTAGATTAAATCCTAGCAACATTTCCCAAGTGATATTTGACCCTTAAGCACCTTAAAACCCATCATCCATGAGTTCACGGACGTGAATCATGTGGACATGGTCTTAGGGCCGTAAACTCCCTAAATATTTTACTCTTGAAGAGCGAACTCATTATCTATGCCGTATACATCCGTAGGTGTCACCCGGGTCACTCCAAACACTTGATTTGAAGTGTTTTCACGTCTTGGAGTGTAAAATCATACCTAATTAGTGATTTAAAGTCTAATTAGATACATTTGTATATCATTTCATATTACATAGGAACCTCACACGTTATCAATCCCCGAACTGATGTTTAGCACCCAAACCGACACGCTTCTCGACCGGTGAGTTCATACCCCTACGCCTTTTCCGTGTTTTTCAATGTTTTCAGGGGGGGGGGGGAATACAAGCAAAATTATAAATGTTTTCAAAACCTAAAACTGATGAATATCTATAAATATCTGGCTAACTTTTAGATATCTTTATCCCTTATGTATTATGCAGAGCATAAGGGATGTTTATTTGAATAATAAATACATGGATTTCAATTACAGTAAAGGAAACAATCAAATCAATCAAATTATTATGGGAATAATTTGGGATCTGATTAGATATATATTAATATAAGTTTATTCATGAATTTGATTAGATATATATTTTCTACCTATAGTTCTTATATCTTGTACGGGATGGTAATCTCATGGTTTTGAATCTATATCTAGTACGGGATGGTAGTCCCATGGTTTAGAATCTATATCTAGTATGGGATGGTAGTCCCATGGTTTTATATCTTATATCTAATACGGGATGGTAGTCCCATGGTTTTGAATCTATATCTAGTACGAGATGATAGTCCCATGGTTTTCAATCTATATCTATCTATAGTTTTGTGTATATCAAACTATCTTATATCTAGTACAAGATAGTAATCCCATGATTTTCAGTATACAGTTTTACGTATTAAACTATACAATGTGGTCTTTAACTAAACTTTACTTTTAGGAAAATATAGGATTTTCCTGGGATAACAATTGTACATAACCAGAATCATGTAACAAAACAGTTAACTAAACATTACTTTTAAGAAAATATGGGATTTTCTTGGGTTCGTAACTTTTTCGGAAAACCAAAGGAAACTTATATATTTTCAGAAAACAAACATCTTATGAACTCACCAGCTTTATACTGATTTTCAAACTGCTTGTATTCTCAGGTCTGCATTAGATAGGTACCTAGCGATCCTTTTGGCGAAGACGGAGTACGTAGAAGACACGTCTTTACTTTTGTGCATATGATACATATGTATAACACTTGTAACACTCTACTTTTGAATAAATGTAAATTCTAATATGTAATGTAATGGTTGTTTACTTTGCGTACTATGTACATTGGTTGTGATACTTAACATGAAGTCACCTCTGCCCTGGAACGTTTCCGCCTTCAGTTTCGGGGTGTGACACCCAAATATATAAGAATGAATGATTTACATAATCAATGCCCATATATTTATTTAGTCCCTTTTGATCGCAAAATTAAATCCAAATTAATTCTTGATCGATACTAGTTAAATAATATGATTTCATATTAATATGTTAGAAATTATAATATATTAATATAAATCAGAAATAAATAACCTTTTCTCACTTGTCATTCCAATTGTTCTGATGCCATGCAACCCAAATGGACCATGCTACTCTCGGGTCGAGTATATACCAATAATAGTTATGGGCTTATACATCTAATCCAACATGATTTTGGTCCAACAATCGGTTATGTGTCTGATGATTCAAGTAGTTGACAGATAAGGTGAGATCAGAGAGGTGCCGAATGCTTTCGAAAAGCAGCAATATGATTTGGATTGATTTCAGTGGCTTGGGATCTGTGTGTGGAATTACTTCTCATTCGGGGCAAATACTAATTCGGTTATGTTTGGACTAAATATTGTTAGAAGTTGAATAACCAATTAAGAGATAAGTGCAGTGAACATGGCAATGATTCGGTATGGGCGGTCAGTCAAGAAGACAGACCATCTTGAGAATTCAGGTTTCAAATGGAGTAAATGTGATCATGTTGCAATAAATTCATTCATCTCTGGGTTTATAACCATGGGGGGATGGTTTTGGTTGCCATGGAGAGGCTATGGTATGCTTGTGGTTTTGAACATGTCGTTCGAGTTGTCGCGCACGTAAGGGGTGGTAAGGAATGATTTCGATGACGAAATCTAATTTAAGTGGGAGAGAGTTGTAACATCTTGTTTATTAAATAGAAAAATAGATAAAGGATGAACGAAGGGTCGCCCTAAATACGTATTATTTAGTTGGGTGGTTATTTTGGGGAGTCGATGTTGTGATTTGGATTATTCAGGGGTTAAAATGTAAAATCAGGATTTATTTTGTAAAGATTTTAGAAGATGGGGGGGGGGGTGTTTGGTAAGTATTGGACTTGATATGAAAGGATTTTGAAAGCCGAGGGTTGTTGGGTAAATTTTGGGATTGGAGTTGAAAGGAATTTCTGAAGTCAAGGTTGAAAGGGTAAATTTCAGACTCATTTTGCAAAGACGTTTATGGGGAGGGACCAGTTCTGCTATTATGGCAATATGTGTGTGTGTCGGCTATATAATCCCTGCGAAACCCTAACCCTAGCGGCAATAAGCAGTCGCCATCCTCTCCACCTTATGCCTCCCTCTCATCTTCAACCATCAGCACCGCCTTCCATGAACACCAACGAAGCTTGCTGCAATGCTGTTAAAGACGGAGCTGTCGACGGGTACTCGAGCAAGTGCCTCTCCACCGCTGTTGTTGCTCACGAGTTGCCCGCTGCCTTGCCATGAACATCACTGCGGCCGACAAAGAACTGCTAGTCGGAACCATCATGTTACGGAGGCCGGAGGAGCAACACTGTGGTTGTCATGGTTGGTGTTCACAGTTTATGAAGCATAAACTTCTCTCCTCTCTGTTCTGTTTGCTGCTACGTCAGCACCACCGCTCCCTAGCAGCTGAAGATTTGTTGTCGCCGTCTCTTTCCATCACCGTGTGCCACCAGGTGGGTGGCTACACCTGTCTTGGTGTGTAAAGTCGAGTTCTGCTGTGCTAATCGTTTTCTTTTGGAGCGTTTCTATTGGCTAGAAACCCCAAGGAAAACACCACGGTTGCCAATCGTGGCGGCTGACGCTGCTAGTTCTTTTCTGCCATCCATAGCTGCCGTGTATGGGTGGTTGTGAGTGTGACTCAGTCTTTGTATGCGTTTGTTTCACTTTTGAGGGTTATAGGATTGTATCTTGGCCGGTCATCCGAAGAAAGACCCCACTGCCATAACCGTGAGGTGGTGGCTGCTGCTCTCCACCACCGTCTGTGGCCACAAGGTGGTTGTGTGTATATGTTTATGTGTGTTATATTAGTGTGTGTGTATTGAGAGTAGCATTGTAATTGTAATTAGAAAAAGATAAATGAAAATAAACTTAAAACCACTACCGTAAAGTGGTGGTCGTCGCTGTAAGCCGTCGTTGACTACCACTACCCGAGGTGGTAGTGGGTGGTGCCCGACTAGCAAAACCCTAATGGATCCTGTGAAACCCTAATGTGCCTAATGAACCATAATTGATTAAAAGATTTAGCTATTTGGCCTTTTAGGCTATGATTGGGTTGGAAAACCCTAATTTTGGGATTATTGGTTTGGACTTATCGGGACCCTCATTTTGGACCATTGGAGTGCAGTTATGACTTAATCCCGATTTCATTGTATGTTTGAAGGCTCTAGGAAATGATCAAGACATCCTTTCTATGACTCAGTATCCCCCCCCCCCCCCCCCGAATAGAGCTCTTAATTTGTATGTTAAACATTACATAATCAGAGTTCTAACTTATATCATGTCCCCAACCAAAGTTGTTATTGAGCAACTAGATGATGAACCTTCTCTTGAACTCAATAGGATTAGGACTAATAAGAAGGAAATCGGTTCTTGTAGTAAGAATTTGACACGAATATCTATCTTAATGAGTCCTCTAATTCGAGCACATATAAAATATAGGGTGTATAATTTTTCCTAGTCCCTAGTTCCTTTCAAGGCATCTCAATTTACTAAATGTAGTATACTAGAAAAAGAGGTTGTTCAATAATTTGTGGATGATTCCAATGTCTCTATAGCAGAAGAATCTCTCATTTTGCAAGATGTTAGAGTTGATTTCAATGGCCTTGATGGAAGAGATATACTAGATGATTTTGAGCTTTTTACTGACAATAGATATCAAAATGTGGGTGACAATGATGCACATTATAACAATGATTCAATGGTAGAAGATGATGAAAAATAGGTTCAATAAGAGGATGAAGAATAGTTTCAAGAAGAGGATGAATAAGATGATGAAGAAGAGGATGACAATGACTATATTGTAGACCCAGAAGCATGTGTTGATGATTGGGATGTGGATATAAGGGAACGTAACAATGATGTGGATGGGGTTGAGTGGTTTGGACAAGCACCACAAACACAAGCAAATTTAAACCAACATGGTGATGATTTGGAGGTGATTAACAAGGATGAATTTGAAAATGCATGTTATGTGGAAGAGGAATTATTTTTATTACGAAATTACAAGCAAGCTAACATTCTAACCCAAGTTTCATATAGATCTCAAAAATTGTATGATAGCATTAGGGTTGTTGCTTTGGAATTTTTATTTGCATGTATAACTAGAGAAAAACTTAGATCTAAAGCAATTAGAGTTGCATGATCACACAGGAATGTTATTATGCTCAAAACCCATCACTTTTAGGGCTTCTTACATATTTAAGCCCCTAAACTCAAGGTTTAGGGCATCATCTTTAGTTTCCAACCCCTCTAAATGAAACCCAAGCCTCCATGAAGATTTGAGATCTTGTTCCTTTAATTTGAAGTTTATTTTATGATTTTAAGTGGAACTTGAAGAAGAAGGAAGTCATAAGGAAGCAAAGGAACAAAGAGCAAGCTTGGATCAAACGTCCTCTTCGGAAATCTGAGCTATTGGAGGTATATTCTTTTTGTTTCAAGTATGAGCTCATTTTTAAAGATTTTGTCACTTTTATTTGGATTCTTTGGGAGTTGAAGAACTCTAGAGATTATGGATGGCCTCAGAAGGTCTTTATCTTATGAAATGTGAGAAAAAGGAGACATGATTAGAGTCCCTTGTGTTCATGCTCTATTTTTAGCCCCACTATGGATTTAATGGACTTAGGATTGTACATCTAGAATTTGAATGGAGTCCTAATGGATAAAGTTGGAAACTTTATCTATTAAGTCATTAAAAAGAAGTAGTATGAAGTTTTAGGCTTAGATCTTTAAGGATTAAACACTTAATGAAAAATATGGAAATCTACCGGTTCCTATGACGTGGCAAAGGGCTTGCCATAATGTAGCGTTTCTCAGCTTCGCAACTATGTTGTCTTGATGTTCCCATGATGTAGCCAATAGTCCTCCACGTCGTGGTAGGGATTGACTAAGTTGACCGTTGAGTTTTGTTGACCGTTGACCATTGACTGTTCACTTTTTGACTAATTTGACTTTGGGTCAAACTTGAATGAATTGAGTTATTGATGAACATTCTAACTTTGTTTTGGTGTAATTTGGTATGCAAGAGCGATCAGTGCATGGAGTGAGCATGTTGCCATGTACCCTTAGGTCTTCGATTTGCGTGACTTTCCTTACTATACTAAGTGTTACAATATATATATTCTTATATGTCATGATATAGCAGTAGTGGTATGCTGGCTAGAGTACTAGTAGGTTGGTGGTCATCTAGGTATGTGTCCTGTGGGCAGTATGTAGTCACGCAGGATAGTCTAAGAACTCTTAATCTAGGATTTATTTCATCTTCATTCTTTGGTTGTGGCTCTAGAGTAGGATCACCTGTTCGAATGTCTATCTCACCTCTTGTTACATATAGTTATGCATTCCTTGGAGTTCTACTGGTAGTAGCGTGGTGTACTGTTTGAGGCATGGTATGAGCTTGTGAGTTGTTAGACAGGTAGACTAGTGTAGATAGTTGCATTTTTTTTTATGTGTTTACATGATTGCTTGTATGTTTCATATGTCGACATATTGGATGGTGAGTTGAGGCGGTCCTACTTTGTGTTGTAGGCCAAGATACCTAGGAGGGCCAGCGGTGTGCTATAGACCAGGTGTGGATCAGATGTATGCTAAGTAAGAGTAGTCCAGGTGTACTATAGGCCTTGTAAGGCGGTCCAATCAGATTGTAGGCTCTAGAGAGTGATCCAAGTATGTTGTAGGCCTTGCGAGGCGGGCCAAATAGATTGGAGGCTCATGTGTGCTTACATTATATGTGTATTGTAGTGTGTAGTATTTTGGGGGAACTCACTAAGCTTTTGCTTAGAGTTGTGGATTAAATGTTTTCAGATACCATTGGTGACTGTGGGAAGGCGAATGTGTGATTGTAAACACTCATCAACATCAATGGAGATTTCATATTATTTATATTACTCTGATTTTCAAACAACTGTATTTTTGGAACAAATAGGTTTTCATAACTTGGATTTTATGTAAATGATGATTTTACATTATTTAAAAATGAAATTTTCTCTTGTGAAAATGGGACGTTACATAGTGCCTTAGTGATGATTTGAATTTGGATGCATCATGTAACTTCATATTTGTATCTGGCATAAAAAAGTTTCAATACATGAACTTTGTTTTTATTCTATCTTTTAAAGCTTATAATGGTGTTAACTTAAATTTAAAATAATATGGAGGGAGTAACACTTATCATAGTAAAGGTGTCTCCAAGTACATAACACGTGGTGTTTGAGACGCATTACTAAAAACATGAAGTTGAAATGGGGGGGGGGGGGGAGGGGGAGAGAGTTTAAATATCACTTTTGGATATGTGCTACAAGTAAAAAACTTAGTCATTTTGAAAGATCAATGAAATAATTCAAGGTTTTTAGTGGCAAGGCACATGAATGGCTAACTAAGATTCTTGCAGTTCATAAGCTAGGTCATATTTCTCTGATAAGTTATGTATTATTTGGTTTAGTGTCAAAATTCTTTGTCAGTCTGTAACACTTATTTAAATTTCATAAGTAGAGTACATTCAATTTGTTTTCCAACTAATATGTGTGAAGTATTTAACTCTAAGCTAGAACATGGTAGGGACAAACGTATCATTACTTCTTGAGAGTACATTATGGTGTATTTGATGAAGATGCATTGCATAGTTCAAAAAGAAATTGATAAATATAGAGGTACACTAATCCATACTACATCAAGTATTCTTGAAACAATAAAAAAAGAAGCAAGCCAATATATGATACTCTTGAATCAGAGGTGTAGTGACTGATTATGATGACATGTGTGGAATAGTAAAGATCTAATGAATCATACAAACATCAAGAGCATAAGGAATAAATAAACACATTTAAGCTCCAATAGAATTGTAACATACACATTCTGAAAATTGTGTATTGTTATTATTAAAAGTGAATAAAATTGAGTGTTGAGTTCTAACATCTAGTTTTTACTATAAATGAAGTAAAACTATGTTTAGAATCACTCATAAAATATTGGAAGTCTCATGAGATTCCAATTAATAGCCAAATAGTGAAATTTAGCGAAAATATAAAATTTTAATCAAGTAAAATTTTATTATTTGATGTTGTAAATCATCTCGTTAGAAACTTGTAGGCGAAAACCTCGTCAAAATCCGGGTTATAATGAAGAAGTTATAACCAACCGAAAATCCGCGACAAAACCGGCACGGTGCCGAATGACGTAAAAAGTGAGTTTTTGATAAACTAGTTTTTAGCCTTAGTAATCTAAAAGAAAGTCATAGTATTCGTTAAACCGAGAAATTCGATAAAAAGAACTCAAAAATCTGACTTCGTATAAGTAAGTTATGATTTTTCAAAGTTTCAACTTAGCAGTAGACAGCTAAAAACTCGAATTTTAGATTGAGCGATATTTGACTGATACACCCTAAACGAGAATCGAAGGTCTCATCATTTTTAGTACAACGGTAAAAAGTCTGACGAAAACGGATGTCGGATGAAGAAGTTATGAATTTTTAACGGATTTTCCTGTCCCGGTCTGTTAAAAAGAATAATATTAAAAAGAAAGTCAAAATTACCCTACGAAGTCTAAACGAAAGTTGTAGAGCGTAATTGTAGCTATGCGTGCATATAAAGAACGTCAAAAACGGAGCTCGTATGCAAAAGTTATGGATTTTAGAAGTTCGGGGGTCAAAAACCGAGAAATCTCGCATGAATAGTAACCGGCCACGTCACCTCGCACGAAGCAGGTGCGTCACTGGAATCGTAGCTTCACCTCGCAGCGCCACATGTACGAGCCGAAAACCCTCGTTGCTTCCACGTCCTTCGCACGAAGTAGCTGCATCAACGAAGTCGTGGCGCGTCAGAGGTGCGACGCGTGTCATGTCCGAGCCTCTCTGGCCTTCGCAGCTACTGCCACCGAGCTGCTTCGCGCCAGCTGTTCCGAACCTCGCATCCGAGCCTCGCCTTTGCGCCACATGGTCTTCGCTGCTGCTGCCACCTGCCTCTCTGGATCCGAACCTCGGCCATATAAATAGGAGGGTGCGAACCCTCCCAGCTAGAATTTGAAAATTTCCAATTTTAGCCCTTTTTTCCATATTTTCACTGTTTTGACTTTTCCCGAAGCCCCGATATCAATTTTAGCACCCGAAACACATCCCGAGACCCCCGAGAAGCCCGAAAATTTTATCTTTTCGGTTTTGAAGCCCTACCTTCGCAGAGCCCGGTTTTGAATTAAGCTCCCGGTTTTCAACATAGAAAGTCATATTTAAAGCCGAAATGCTGTTCAAATTACTATTTTAACCCCCGGTTAACTTAAGATGAGTTCAATATATAAGAACAATTGTATGTTATGTGTTATATGTTCTATGTGCTTCTCAGTGTTATTATTCTGAGTTATTCTCCCATGTTATTTTATTCGCTATGTTTATAACAATTATAATACCTTTGACCATGTGATCGGTGAAATGACTTAGATTCACATTGGTACTGGTACGTAGCCTCTGGCCATGTAGAGCATGTCTCCGTAAGAGAATGACTTCTATTCTATGGCATTGGCAGAAGGTTAGATAAGAATGGTATGTAGCCTCTGACCATGTAGAGCATGACTCCGTAAGAGAATGAACTTTATTCTATGGTATTGGCAAATGGTTAGACAGGGCTATAAGCCTGAAATCTACCAAAATGTTAATCAGAAATTATATGTCTTCTATGCCAATTGGGCCAAAGCTTTATTGATGCATATCAAGTATTGAAATCGTTATGTCTCATTGAAAAGTATATCTTTGAATAAAGTCTTTGATTGATATGAATGCTTGTAACATGATTTCACATATGTCTTCTTGTTCCCTTCTGCTTCTGTCATATTGGTATATGTAAGGCATAAGATTATATTGTATCTATTTATTGAATTCACTAAGCGTTATTGCTTATTCTTCTCAATGTTTAACAATTGCAGGTGATGACTATCCAATATAGTTTTATACTACTGAAAGATTTAGAATAGTTAATACTATTTCTCTGTATTTTAAATGTTCATGTATGTATATGAATAGTAGATTCCTGGGTAGACATGAAATGTAATAAAACTTAGTCGGTTTGTATCCAATCTTTTGTAATCACTTTATCAATATAAAATATTGTTTTATAAGTATGCATGTAGCATATTTTCAGGAAGTATCTTAAGAAATCTTTTGAAATAGTATGAAAGTTTGGGTGTTTCGTAAATACGAAAGTTGTGTTCTTTCAATCATGGTATCAGAGCAATGGTTTAAGTGAACTAAATATCACGGATTGATATTTAGACTTAAACTGTTGGAAGCTCAATATATGAGCTGATTCATAATAAGTATATGGATACAAACCATATGAAATATTTAAGTGGGGGATTGGGTAATGATAAACCCTAGTATTCTAAGATATTAAGTTACTTCAGAATTTTAAGAAAATTAGTTTAAGTGAACTAGAAATTTTAAGAATTTCTAAACTTAAACAAGAATTATTAAGTAAAGATGATACGATATATTTTAGGTTAAATATCTAATGGAGGCAAGCACTAGAATATTAAGAGGAGATATGGCTTATATTCTATTA